TTGAAATTCAAAAGTAGTGATTAACAGAAAATCAATAATCGTTCTTGAGTTTCTTTGAATACTTATCTTTTCCGCGAACGTGACGCGGGCACGTCAAGAGAGCAAGAGAGCCCCCAGAAGTTTCTGATCGTGAGCTTCCTGCACATCACCACGCGGGCGCGTCATGACTGAAGGGCACCTATAAATCAGCAAAAATGAAAACTGAAACCCAAAATCAGTCGAATTCAAGGAAAAACATATTTAAACTAACAAATAAAATCAAACAAACAACTAAACGAAATTGGGTTGCCTCCCAATGAGCGCCTTTCTTTAATATCTTTGGCTAGACATTATCACGTTTTGCTCATGGCGGATAAAATCTTGTAGCTCGTCTTAATGTTTCATCCTCTATATAGTCCTGATAACCCTCGTAAATAGAATAATCCTTGAGCATACGAGCTACGGGCTTCCATGGACTAGTGAATGGCGCCAAACGAGTCGATGATAATTTGCATTCTCCATTCACTTCTCCCTCATTTGCATTTATTGGTTCAAGATATCTTGCCATCGCCACTCTTAATTTATTCCTGTCATGAAATTCAAAATTGTCTGGTATAATAAAGTCAATTTCGTTAACAGGAATTGAAGAATAAGAGTCAGGAGAATATTGATGAAGGAGTGGAGAAGATGTCACCGCATTTGGAGATTGTTCACTGGATTCATTCACTTGAACGAGTTGATCTTGGAGTCTCATTTCTTGCAATTCAGCTTCCTTTTCAACTGCATCTTTAAATCCGTTTTCTTGAAACTCTTGCAGTTCCATGTCATTTGGCCGGACAATTGCACTCTCATCTTCCTCAAGATTGATATTGGTTTGTGCGGGCAATTCTTCCATTTGAGAAGCCAATCGATCTATCCTGGATGTCAATTGACGCATTTGATCCGCCAGGTCGCGAAGGCTCGCTTGTGTCTTCTGATGAAATCGATTTAGGCTCGCTTGTGTCTCCTGATGAAATCGATTTGAATTAGCAATTAGTAATCCCATCATTTCTTCAAGAGACATACCTGACACGGAGGATGATTGCTGAGACTCTTGTTGTTGAAAATTCATTGGCCCGGTCGCATAATCAAAATTGGAATTATCCCACCATCCTTGATCATACCCGTTTGAATAAGGGTCATACTGCGTTTGATATTGGGGTGGAAAATCTCCAAAAGTATCAATTGGAGCGCTTAGATTATCTTGAAATGCGGGGCATGTGTCAGTTGAATAACCTGAATCAAAATAAGTTCCACAATTTGCAACAGCCCATTGATCATTAGGAAAAACATGAGTCTCATAACCCCATTCAGGAACAAAGTCCAGTCTATCATCAAAATATGGAATGTTAGCAGCCATCAAAGAAAAATAAAATAAATTAAGAAAAAATGAAAACAAAATAAACTCAAAAAGAAACAAATTAATCTGGCACCAGTCCCCGGCAACGGCGCCAAAAATTGACAGGTTGTCGAAGCCTGTGCAATAATAAAAACCTGCTCAAACTAAAAATAATTTCTGTAGACAGTGGTAAGCAGGGTCGAATCCACAGGGACTGGGAGTAATTGTTTCTTTTCAAATTCACAGTGACAAGGGGGTGTTTTTATGCAGAAAGTGACAATCAAATAAATTCAAATAAAATCTAAGAAACTACTAAAAATTAAATAACAAACTACTAAAATCTAATGAGTGATAATTAAAGATCTAGCCAAGGAATAACTTCAACAATGGTTCACCTAATTGATCATCGATAAGCAAAGGCAATTCCAATTATTTACTAATAAATAGGTTATAACTGCCAAACAAGCGATGACAGTCAACCCTTCCTTACTGTGTCGATGATTAAGGTACGCCCGTTAATCACTGCTCTAATTGAAAAATAATCCTAGGTACGCCCATAGAATTTAATTCCCCAATTGCCTTACGTGTTAGAGGAGCCCTATTCTAATCAAATAACGCACTACCAGGGTTATTTTAGATTAACCCGCGTATTCCCCTGACACAAACCCAATCATGCCAGTTATCACTATTTTGAGACAATTAAACAATTACGGATTTAACGTCCCAATTGATAATAGATTATTAAATTAACTAATTATCCGGATCCAAGACAATCAATTAATTAAACAATCATAAGCACTGTAACCAGGGAATATGCAAATATCAATAAATAAGAGAAAAAAGATAAAATTAAATCGATCTCACAATTTTAGATGACCCAAAGCATCCGTTGTCCCTTGACTAGAGTGAGGGATTTAGTTCATATTTGATGAACTAAATCCACAAGGAATAAAAGCAAAATCTACGGCCATCGTTCTTGCTCGCGCTAATTCAACTCGGCCGAAGGAATAAGAAAAAGCTACTATAAAGCTAACAAGAAAAGTCAACAAAAGCCACATTGGCTGCTGAAATCCGTGAGGCAACTACTACTAAGAAGCCCAAGAAAAGTCAAAGGAAACAATTCCTTGATATTCCTGCCATGCGCAGGAGCTCCTTGGTCAAAAGTCCAAAAGGAAAAGCAAATCTCATGCTAAGCTTTAGCTCCCTCCTGTGCGGCGGCCTCCTTCCGGAGAGGAAGAAGAAGACCCCTACTTCAGCCATTCGTTCCTCTTTTTAATGCTTTTGTCTTCGGCAATTGCTAAAATGGGCACAAGTTTGCCTTTGCCAACAATGCCCCTGGGATAAGCTCTGTGCCTTAGACTCTTTTTCTGTAAATTGGCACTTGTTATCATATTTTCGTTCTACTCCCTGAAATAAATGCAAAATATCAAAAGTGAGTAAAATCTAGCAATTAATCCACAATAGGTCAGATAATAGGGAAAATTAATAATAAAATAAATGATAAAATTGCAACCTATCACGTATCTTTTGAGAGTAGCGGTCTCATAAGTTGAGTTCTGTTTAAATCAATCCCGCTCGTATAATTGCTGCTTGCAGCACTGCAAAGCTTGGCCATGCAGCTCAGAACGGTAGGACAGTAACATGACATTCAATTAATTCTAGTGGAGTACGAATGCTGTGTTTTTTATTGAGATCAAATTTTGTATAAACACCCAAAATTGAAAGAAGAAGACGAAATTTTACGAGCAAGAAACATGTGGTGAGTTTGATATCCTTAATTGCAAGAGCCTGTTCAAATTAATTAACAAGTAAAGACAACAAAAGGGGTAGCTCTGGAATATTGAAACCAATATCTTTTTTTCTTTCTGAGGAGATGAATATGTCACAAAAAAGTCAATTCAGCGGAGACAAGTGAGATTTTTAAAAGTTCAAAAATACTGCGCGATACCAACATAAACTTCAGGGGAATAGGTTACTAACCCTATTGAGACCAAGAATAGTCTCGAGTATAATGCATGGAAATTAAAGCTATGATTTGTGGGCCGCAATTCAATGCCGTTTGTTTGGATCATGCATATTTATGAGATTAAATTAAGAAGTCAGTTCCTCAGTGGTTGTGATGCATGAGCCAGTCAAAACTGGTGCCTGAATTCCTTTCAGAAATGGTACGCTTGAGGCCTACAAAATAGCGCGTGCGCAAAGCAAGTAATGCGTTTAACTTTCAACCATGTTTTGAGTTCTGACCCAAACAGTTCTTGGACAGTTCTTTCATTCAATAGTTCACAAGTTGAGACATTTTTCCAGTGAACTGTTGTCTAGTTCTGCTCAATCATGTACTTGTTACAACATCTGGTATGGTATAACTTGATGCTCCCTCCGTTCCACTTTGATAGTTCTATTTTTTTTTCACATATTTTAAGAAAAAGTAATTAACTTTGTTAGAACAATCAATTTAGGTAGCTATTTTCCTAAAATACCCTCACATTAATTAGAGTACAACTTTATGGGAACTTGAATTGCTGGTAAAAAAAGAATCAACTCTCATTAAATGGGGTAGGTTTATAGTAACAACAACTTATATTGAATAAGGGTATTTTAGGAAAATTAAAATACAACTACATTCTTCAATTGGAAAATGGACTACAATTTGGGACAAACGAAAAAGGAAAACAGGACTATTAAAGTGGGACGGAGGGTGTACAATTTTTAGTATAAATGTGAATTTCTTAACTAACAAAATTAAATTAGAATAAAAATCGCATTTAATGTATGAATTTATCTCAAAAGTTGTAATAATTACAACAGTTAGACTAAATTGGAGGAGAGAACTTTGATCCAAAGAAGGTTTTTCTTCCCCACTTGGGTCTTGGCTTTGAGGGTTGGATCAGCCTGAAAAATAAATAATCTGGCAAATTTTCCAAATCGATCAGGATATCCGAACTGAGTTTTAAAACAAGACTAACATACGTACACGTTTTCATCTCAAATGCACAAATTCATATCCATAGCTCCTTCTCTTTGAATGGTCTCCTGAATTTTTTTCGCATTGATTGCCTGCTCCTTTGTAAGTCTTTTTACCTTGACTTTGCAAAAAATTTACTGTTTTAGGGCCCGCTGAAAGAACCCTCATGGACACTTGTTTAAGAACCGTTACTGGACCAAAATAAAAAATAAAGTATAATTTAGAAACTTAAATATCACAATATAAAGTTTTGAAACCAAAGTGAGAATAGAAAAGGAAAAATGCACTACAACAAAAATGGCCTTTAACGGCATTTAAAAGTGTCAGTATAGATAATCTAACCTGACACTTTATCTATCCTCACACCTAGGGCGAGTGTTGTCCCTTTCAATGTGGGGATAGACTCGTACTATTCAACATATCAGGAAAACTATGTTGTTATAACATCCCATCTACCAACAAAAATCTCTTTTCTTGATAATTGAAAATGTTAGAATAGGTATAGTACAACATTAGAATATCAAATTCTATGCTGGCACTTTTAATTGCCAGGAGTTTTTTTTTTCTTTAAATAGAAGCAACCTACAGGTAGTGCTCCTTGCTCTACATTCCGTTAATCAGAAACTCAAAGGACTTTTAAAATTATCCCAAAAAATAGAATGCATATAAGATAATATGCTATGATGTAAAAATCTAGAAACATCAAACTTGAGCAGTACTGTGATTATGAGAACTGAAAATGCCAACTCCCATAAGCAAGAGGAGATTTGTCATCATCTTTCATACGTCAAAAGCAGAATGCAAATGAGACTAAATGATATACAAGCCAACACACAGTGGAAAATCTCAGAATAAATGCAAGCGCACTTTGTTTATAGCAATAACAATTGGCATTGCAGCTGCTGTGGCATGAGCAATGGCCTCTTCTGTTTGAGGTCGAATTCCATCATCAGTAGCAACTACAATAACAGCAATGTCTGTTACTCTGGCTCCACGAGGTCTCATTGCTCCAAATGCCTATCCAACCATTTGTACAGTTATGTTAGATAATTCATCTTGACAAAGGCCTTTTAAGATATGTCTGCAAAATCTCCAAGAAGAGCATTTGACATAAAAATTTTAAAAAAGCAAAAAAAAAAAAAAAAACTTGCATGAATAAGCAGTTAAAAGTTAGAACCAGTGCTACATCATTAATTACCTCATGTCCAGGGGTGTCAAGGAAAACACAAGTCTGTGGCTTGCCATCAAAAGGTACTTGTACCTTGTATGCCCCCATGCCTTGAGTAATTCCACCTGCTTCAGATGCTGCCACATACAGTAGGTTGTCTAAGATTTAGTTCCCAGCTATTCAAGTATCATAACATAAGACAGAATAAGGTACTTCTTCTAAAGTCATCAAATCATAATGGCATTACAAAAAATGTACCTCAACGTGAACATCAATAAAAATAATCGATTCATACCTTGCTTTTCCTGATGTAATCCAAAAGTGTGGTCTGCCAACCCAAAAGAAAACCAGTAATATATTAGCTAAAGATTGTTATGGGATAAAAAATCTAGAATGACTCTCCTAAAGATCAATTAACTGGAAGCACACAAAATGTTCATAGGCAACAATCAAATAACAAAGAAAGGTAAAATTATTTCATGGGATGAGATCATAATGACTTCAAAAAAGATCTATTAACTGGCGACACACATAATGCTTCTTGAAACCAACTACAAGAAAAAATTTTGTTGCTTACTTTCCCATGGTCCACGTGTCCCATGACGGTTAGAACAAGCGGCCTGTCTTCCAACTTGTCGACATCATCTTCATCAAAAATTTCCTTTTTTTTTGCCATTTCCTCCACTTTCACAGGGTCAGCATCAATAACTTCAACATCATACTGTGTTTTGTTTACACACTGTGTGCACATGTGACTTTCGTATAGAAAGTAATAAAAAATTTTCTAGTATTTACCATACCTATGATAGTAGGACCCACCCAATATAGATTGCACCCATGCCTTCTTCACAATTACAGTTCCTAGAAGATGGCAAAGTTCCTGCGTTGAGTAGGACTTCTCTGGCTGCATAGAAATTCACAGATTTAAGCATCATCAATGACAACCTAAAAAGCCATGGCTAGTCAGCAATTTGCCGGCACTATGTTCATTTTCAATGGACTATAACATGTGTAATATGTAAAGGAAACCTGTGTATATATATGTCAACAAAAATCTCACAAGATAACCTGGATATTAAGTAGTAAGCCAACCAAGTACAGTGTCCATTTGCTATGTTGCCACATTTTATCAAACAGGTTATGGCCAGTAAGTGCATAACAAAAATAGTCACATGAATCAAGTAGACAATCGAGAGGAACAAAGCTGAACAGCAAGGGCACTCAAATCATAAACTATTACTATATCTGTTTCAATCTCAAACAGATGGAACTAATCTCAAATATAATCAATTTAGGGCAAACTTTGAAACTTAACCCTCATAATTCAATACAATAGAGTACACAGCTTCAAGAATAGCTAATAATGTCCAGAAAAAAGCTTAAACATTACCTCATATGCAAAATAGTGATTGGCTGCCATGTACACGAACATATAAGTAAGGGGGTTGTACTCGAGTGCAGGTACAAAAGCATTTTTTCCTCTCATCTGCTGCAATTTGCAATTGGCAATTGGATTGTGTTTGTTTGGCTCGAAATAAATGGTAGCAGTAATGGGAAAGCTTGAAGAATGGACAGCTTCTTTACGGTGACATTTAGCAAAAACATTATCTAATTGCTCAAAAAATAAAAAAAAAATTTACCATGCAATTACATACCTTCAATGGGAAAGCAAGGAAAGTTTGTTTGCAGGGAGATTCAGCAGAAAAAACTCCAAGTGTTTTGGCTAGAGATAATTTGCCGAGGATAATTTGTTGAGGAGAGAGTGTTTCTTGTGGGAGAGATGAGATGAAGAAAAATTTGACAAAGTCTTTTGGCCGGCAATTTGAAAGTTTCGAATATTTCATGGCAAATGAATCTTCCGCCAAAACAAGCCATGTCGTTTAGTTTAGTGTCTTTCTTTTTTTTTTTTTTTTAATTTGGGTGTATCTCACATTTTCTCAAGTGTCATGATAAGTAGTCTAAAAGCACATTATAATTATTATATCAAATAAAATAAAATAAAAATAAAGTATATATTATTAAGTTGATAACAAATGTCATGATAGAAGTGCTATAATGACATAAACCATCAAGTGTCCTTATAGGCATGTCAGGAAAGATCATTTTTGTTGTAGTGATGAGATTAACCCCTTGCTACTCGTGTAAGCTGCCAATACCTTATTTTTTGGATAGTGAACACTAAGCGACTTTAGTAGAAATTGACGGTTCGAATGTCCTGAATCAGTTCGTATATTAGTAGGTTATTATTATTATTTTTAATAGTATGAGTAAGAAGAATCGAGTTCGAAATCTCTTATTTACATGCTCTCTCGTTCGGACCACCCAATCCATCCCTTCCTCCATATTGCCTTTGATTGCACAAGGGTTGTTCAGAGCCCCGTACCTTCATTTCGAAGGTTGCCCACCCTTTAAAGTGTAAGTCGTTATTAGTGTTAAGTTAGGAGGATTAGGTCGGTTAATAGTGTCAAATTTGTCGGATTAGATTAGGTAAAGACAATTTGAAGTTTGTTAGGAAGATTAAACGACAGATGCTACTGTTTCTATATTCAAGAACTAATTCGATTACCAATTACCTACTCAATAAAAAAACAAAAAGAAAAAAATGGAACAAAATAGGAAGATGCTGAGCCTGTATCTAGAAGTACAGAAACCTACTTTTTTTTAAACCAGAAAATTGTCTTCCTCAAAAGGTTAATTAGGAAAAGACAGTTTCAAGTTTGTTTGTGACGGCTAATTGACAAAAAGATCTATCGACCAAAAGAAAAAAATAAATAAAAAAGCAAGTGGATGACGATGTGACTGGAATGTGTTCAAATTGTGAAAGTGTGGAATTAATGCAAACCGTATACTAACTGCTTGTGGTGCATGCGGGCCAGAGTTCATCTTATAATTGCTTCCTTCTATTGCAGGCGTTGCAATTCTCAGCTATAAATCCCATCAAAAGTTTCTTCAGCTAAGAAACAAGACCAAGAATTTCCAAAAACTTAGCAAATATAACGATGATCTCATCACTAAATCCCTTATTCACTACCCACAGAAGTGGTGTTATAGCCCAACAATTTTTTGCATCTTCAGCTGCAGCCTCAATTAACAGTGTCTCTTCTCTTAAAATCGCAGCATGCAGCAAAACAAAGCTTGTTGATCAGTCACCATTAAGACAATCAGGAAACCACCAGCTTCTGAGTTCGGATTTCAATCATTTGCAGTCACTAAAGAATGACTATGCTGTAAGTAATAATCATTTCTAACTTCTTCAATGATTTTAAGTTGTAATTCGTTGTTTTCTTTGCTTAATGATGATGAAATGCATTTGCATAATGCAGGAGGAAAAGTACAAAAGTCGGTGTGAGGTGCTTAAGGAGCAAGTGAAGATGATGCTAGATCAAGAAATGGATGTGGTAAATCAGTTAGAGTTAATTGATGACTTGCAACGGCTTGGATTATCTTACCATTTTGGAGACGAAATCACCTCAGTTTTAAGTGGAATTTACAATCGGAAGTCGATGAATAAAATGCGGAACCAATGGGGATTATATGCAACATGTCTTGAGTTCAGACTCCTTAGGCAGCATGGTTTTGACGTTTCTCAAGGTTCGGATATACCTCCCATGCAACTTTCATTCTTTCAACCAACCTAATTAGGAGTATTTCTTGGGAAAATTTTGAAGCTGTAACTTGTGCGTTATGTTTCCAATGGTTGCAGAGATTTTTGATTGTTTCAAGGATGAAAAAGGGGATTTTAGGCCTAGTCTTTGCGAGGATTCGAAGGGAATGCTGTACTTGTATGAAGCTTCATACCTCGAATCAGAAAATGAAGAGAGCAATCTGGAAATGGCAAGACGGTTTGCTGCAAAAACTCTTAAGAAGAATTTAGATGAAAAGAGAGTTGATCAAGACCTTGTAGCATTAGTTCAACATGCCCTGGAGCTTCCACTCCATTGGAGGATGATGCGTTTGGAGGCAAGGTGGTTCATAGACATATACGAGGAAAGATCAAACAGGAATCCTATTCTGCTTGAGCTTGCAAAACTAGATTTTAATATTGTCCAAGCAGCACATCAGAATGATCTCACATATACATTAAGGCAAGAGTTTAATCATAAGCATGTAGGACAAAAGTTTCAATATTTTCCATTGCATATGCTAGAATTTTAGGTATATTTTAGCGTATGATGAAGCCTCTTGATTTTGGCCAGATGGTGGAGAAGTACATGTCTAGCAGAAAAATTGACATTTGCCAGGGACATGATGGTAGAAAATTTCTTCTGGACTGTCGGAATAATTTCAGACCCTCAACGTGGAAATGGTAGAAGAATATTGACAAAAGTCGTTGCTTTGATAACTGCTATAGATGATATATATGATTGTTATGGTACATTGGATGAACTGGAAGTCTTCACTACTGCTGTTGAAAGGTCAGAATTTTATCTAAGCCACTTGGTTTCCTTCTGTCCAAATCACTTCATTCATTTTTTTTTTTTTTTTTGTCTAACTAGCTTCCTGTTTTCATATACAATATAATAATTGCATCATAAATTTCATGATGAATTGTTTTGAGATATCAAGTGTAAAAAGTTTTCTTTTGATTTGTCAGATGGGATGTCAACTCAATTGATCAACTTCCAGATTGCATGAAAATATGTTTTCTTGCACTCTACAACTTTGTCAATGAAATGGCCTATGATGCTCTAAAAGAACAAGGAGTCAACATCATCCCATACCTAAGAAAATCAGTTAAGTTTCTTTTAAATTGAAATTTTTTTTTTGGTGAATTAATGCTTTCTCCTGCTAATTTACTGACTCCAACATCATTTGATATTTTAGTGGGCAGATTTATGCAAAGCATACTTGCAAGAGGCAAAATGGTTTTTCAGTGGAGAAGTACCAACCCTACAGCAATACCTCAATAATGCCTGGATTTCAATATCAGCTCCAGCATTTCTAGTCCATGCTTATTTTTGTGTTGATTATCCCATAAACAAGGATCACCTGCAATACTTGGATAACTATCACAAGATTATTCGTTGTTCAGCAATGATTTTGCGGCTCACAAATGATTTAGGAACATCTCCAGAATCGGTATGTGCGAAGGCCAGAGTTTTAGTTTGTTTCATAAATTTCAAATCCTATTAAAATTATCTTTATCTCTACTTTCATTCAAATCGAATATGCCTTACATCATTTGAGCTGTTGACTTCTTTATAGCCATTTCAAATTTGTTGAATTAACTATCACTTTCTTAATAAAAACTACCATTTCTTTAAAGAATAATTTTTTATACATTATCAGTGTATGCACAAATAGGTGTAGGTGCATGCCACGTGGTCCAAATTTAAGTTTAAAATTCACTTTTGGTATAACAAATCCACTATACTGGCAGAGGATTAAAAGTTAATTCTTCTTTAAAATACTAAAATGTTGTTAAACTATTTTAAATACCTGACTCGAAAATAACTCTAATCTTATTTAATATGTTTTTTTTTTAATTACACACACATTGGATGTGGCTCAACCACTAGTTACTATCATTGAAACTCAATAATACATGTACCTTATTTTTTTTTTTTTTTGGGGTGAAAAGTAACTTATTTAATAACTCTCTATTTCAGGAGGTGTTGAATGTCGGTGATGTACCAAAATCGATACGATGCTATATGAAGGAGACAGGTGCATGTGAAGAAAAGGCACGTGAACACCTAAGGTTTCTGATTACTGAGGCATGGAAGCAAATGGAAGAAGCTCAAACTTTAGACTCTCCCTTTTCTTCTACATTTAATGGAATTGCAGTTAATCTTGCAAGGATGGGACTATGCATGTACCAGCATGGAGATGGCCATGGCCATCAAAATTCTGAGCCTAGGGATCGTATTTTGTCACTGCTCTTTGAGCCCATATGTTGTCTTGCCTAGACCTAATTTTGGGTTCGCAGTTAAATAACAATTTTCAGGAAATTGAATAGCTTTTAAATATATGAAGAAACTAAGTTCCCGTTTGGATAGCAAGTCTTGGAGTTTTTATAGAAAAATATATTGTAGTGACGTTAATGATATGATGTATATGAAATAAAAGTGTATTTTAAAAATATATCGAGAGAATAAGATTTCCTATACGTGCCCCCGGTGACAGTATCTATAATCTCCTCTTTAGGAGCAGATCTCAGATTCGACTCTCAGGAACTACCGTGCTATGATTCTGGGCGCGGGCTCTTATAGCCCGGAAGGAGTAGTCTGGCCCGCTCAGATGATTCTGGCCAGGTCAAGATGAAAAAAAGAAAAAAAACAAGATTTGCTGTACGAATAATAGGTGGCAACTTTTGTATTGAACGAAAATTGGCTGGCAATTTTTGTATTGAATGAAAATTGTCTGGCTTTTATAGCCTTTCAAGAATCGAATACAGACATGCTTATTTAATGCACTGAAACTATATTCAAACGAAATCTTAAAATATGTCCTCAAATCAATGAAGAGCAGAACTACTTTTCCTCTTCATGCTATTGCTAGGTGCCTTATCTGTTCATTAATCTTGAATCCCATCTTGACACTGTTTACTGGTCATGAAAACATATTTTCTTGCACTCTACAACTTTGTTAATGAAATGGCTTATGATGCTCTAAAAGAAAAAGGAGTCAACATTATCCCATACCTAAGAAAATCAATTCCATTTTTTAAATTGAATTTTTTTTTTGGAGAATTAATGCTTTGTCCTGCTAAACAATGATCCTTGGAATACTTGGATAACATCACAAGATTATTCGTGTTCAGCAATTATTTTACGGCTGGCAAATGATTTAGGAACATCTTCAGAATCG